AATACAAAAAAATTAAATATTAAATAATAAAATAATAAAATAGCTTTGTTATAATTATTAAAAATGATTCATATTTTATTTCTTAAAAAAACAATAAATTTTAATAACAAATGTTTATATAAAAATATTTATCTTACAAATAAAATATCTACGAAAGAAAAATATTTATTTATTAACATATATACATATATATTATTGATAATCAAAGTAATCATTAATAATTGAAATATACTCTTATTGTTAAAAGATAAAAAATAAACTAATCTTTTTCAAATTTGTTTATATTTATTATTTTTATTTTTTATGTATAATCGAAAAACTTATTATTTATTGATATATGTTATCTTCTTATGTTATTTTTAGATTTAATCTATTCATTTCATTTAGAAAATGAAAAATATAAATATAATCGCAAATAATTGATTTGTTTTTTAACTTTTGTTAATAAATATATCTTTTAGAAATAAACTTATGACTTATATTATAAATAAAACTCGAAAAAAAAGAAAATATATGTGCTTGAAATAAGATATGAATAAGAATATAGTCTGAAGATGAATAAATGATAATAAATAAATAATAAATTATTACAATCAATACAGCATATAATCAATGTGTAAGTATATTATTTTTAATAAAAACAGTAATTCAATGAGCATCACACCTTGATCTTCAGCATGGGCATATTTGCCAACAACTGGTGGAAAGGCAAACCCAGGATGGGTAAAAATAGGCCCCGGACTTTTCCCAGATGGCACACCGTAAGAACTTTCATCGGTTGTTCCTGGTCCACTTCCGGGCAGGAAACAACTATCTTCACTACTTGCGTATCCAGCAGAACCGAAGGAAGAACCAGAATGTCGAAATACATCGGGTACAGCTGGTGGGGCCACTTTCTTCACTTGGGTCACAGCTTTGGACGGCCGATTCATACCGCCAACTGCACACAAATTCATTTTGTTAGTTCATTATTCAATATGATATATTATTATTGTCATCAACATTATACAATACTTTTTATAAGTTTAATTGCATTTATAAAAATTATATGGTATTTCAAAAAGCACTTAAAAGTTTAACTGTTAAGAAGAACTATAAAATACAATATGAGATATCTTATTCATAAAGATATATATATGTAAAAAAGAAAACAATAAAGATAAGTTCAAATAGAGTATGAATCATGTAATATGAGTATCTTAATTATTGTTATTAATTAATCAATTAAAATTTTATTTATTATAAATGATGCGATGTTAAAAAATATAATTCCAAACTATTTATAATTCCAAACTCTGAAAATTTATATAAAGATCAAAACAAGATCACTAGAAATTATCTCAGATTTTCTAAAATTTAACATTCTAAATGTAGATACTTAATTTTAATAAATATTTTTGTATATTAAATACAAAATATAAATAATATAACATAAAACAAAAAGATATTATTACTAAATATTCAATTCAAAAAATAGAACTGAAGCTAATCTGTTCTGAAATTAAGTTTTGAATAATTAATATCTAATTTAAAAAAAAAAAATAAAATGAATTATCCTCAAATTTCTCAAAATTTGAATAAAATTTTATATAATTTCTTTATATTAAGGAATTCAATGTTATTGAATGTTATTGAATATAATTGAATATAATTGAATATAATATTATTGCTTATGAATTATATACTTCTCTATTAATATGTACTACTATATAATGCGAAATATACAATTCTAAAAGCTACATTTTTATTTGTTATCTTGTATTAATTAAACAATATTTTTTTCTTTTTTTTTTATCATTTACTACTAAATAAATTAACATAAAAATTATTATTTTTATAATTATTATAATTCATATTTAAAAGAAATAAGAATTGTTGAGAAATCCTAAGATGCTAACATTTAATTTTTGATATTTTTCGTTAAATAGTATTAATTTCTTCTTTTTATACAAGAATATCTTTAATTTATTTACATATGATTTTATAATTTTTTATATTTATCAGAAATTCAACAAAATCGAAAACAAAAAAATACTTGTTTTTTAAAAAGAATTATTATGTATATATAAGATTATATATACATAATAAAATCGAATATAATTTGAAAAAAATTGTCTTTAAAAAAAAATAAAAAAAATCGAATATAAACATCTTTAAAGTCCTTCTTTCGAAATTGTATAATCTATAATATTAATTTAAATTTAAAAAAAATAATGATTTATTCACTAATTCACAATGAAAAAAAAAAATAATTATATTAAGTGATCTATTTTATATGTTACAAATAAATATTTATAAAATTTTGAACATCTTGCAAATATTTTAAAAATTAAAAACTAACTTATTAAAAAATTTATTTTAAAATAGAATTAGAAGAAATAATGTATATATTATTTAATAATATATTTAATATAATAAATCATTTTACATAAAAGATATTTTTTAAAATAATTAACTAAGAATTTACATTAATTTAATACACTTACATTAATTATTAATACAATGGATAATAAAGAAATATTGCTATTAAATCTTATCAATATTTTCTATCCTCAATTTACAATTCGTTAAAGTTATACATCAGAGAAAGCGTTCAAAGTAGATTGCTTGAGTAATTTAAGCTCGCAATATGATTATATTGGATCAAGAATGCATTCGAAAAATCTTGATTCATTTTTAATAATAATTTATTATAAAAATACATATATAAAATAAAAAAGTTTCTATAAAAAATTTCCTGTAATTAATAATTAAATTTTTATGAATAAAAATTATGAATAAATTTTTATGAATAAATTATTTGAAATATATTATAATAATAATAAAATTTTAAAAAGGATTTCAGATTGGAATCTATTATATATATCTATTTTAATCGAAATTCTTAAAATATGATTTAAAAATCAGATTTTATAATTAACAATTAGATATTTATAATTAATTATTAATTTCTATGCTAATTTTCTTTAAATAATCTAATTAAAATATATGTAAGAAAAAATTTATATAAAATTAATTATTTTAATTGATGGAATCTTGAAAGGATGTTATAAATGGGATTTCAAATATTTTATTATTTCAATGTAATAGTTAAGAAATTTTCACATAATAAAATTAATAAAAAAAAATTTCAAATTGAGATCTATATATAATATTTAATTTTGTATAAGATATTCAGACCAAATAATTTTTTTTTAATAAAAGGCAATTATTTTATTATTCAATTTCACATTTCAAAAAACTTGAATTCGTTAACTTTAAAATATTTTTTGAATAAAAAGATTTTTATTCTATATTCTGTATTTTTACTTTTGGATCATGATAAATTCAACTGTTCACACATCATAAATTCAACTGTATCACACATCATATGTGATGATATTCAAAATAAAATCATTGCATTTTTCGTGATAATGATTTCAAAATTGCTTATACTTTGTTAACATTGAATATATATTGAATTTCATTTTAAGTGATATTTGTTCAAGATTGTATGTAGCATCAACATTTGGCATGTTTATAAAGAGATACGTAACTATAAACTAATTGTGAATGCTCATCTAATTTTTTTTAAAAATATAAATAAAAGTTCATTACTTTTTAATCGATCTTCCCTAATTATTTTCCCATTCTAATTATAATTGTAAAATTAAATTATAAATTTTTATATAAATATATATTTTTATATAAAATATTTTAAATATATTTTACATATTTTATTACTATATAAATGACATAAATGTTAAATTATTATATATATATTATTATATAATAATTATTTTAATAATTATTTTAATATTATTATATAATAATTATTTTCTTCTCATATTATTTTTACATGTGTGATATAATTAAATATAAATTACATATAATTTAAATATAATAAATATATTTAAATCATGTTTAATTCCATTAAACATATTTAATCATATTTTGTTTAAAAATTCTGGATAAAATAATAATAATAAATATTTTTAATAGTATATATTGAGAAAGTTTCAATATAATATGAAAATAAACTTAAATATATTTTATTATTTAATTAATATATTTAATGAATTA